GTATCGTAAATAATTGATAAACCTTTGGGCAAAGAGAGGAATTCATTAATGACATATAGAATATAGTTTTCCTATATTATATATAATAACATTTTTGAGCACTTACTATGTACCGACACTACTGTACTAAATGCTTTTCTGGATTGTTGTTTTTGTGTATTGATTTTATTTAAACAGGTAATTACTATTGGTATTTCCAGTATTACAGATGAGGGAACTAATGATTGGAGAGTTCTCATTGTAGTTGCCTCAAGTTTATAGTATAAGTGAGAAAGCTGGGATTTGAATGCAGGCTTTTGACTCTAGTGCCGAGTGTTAGGCATAAATGGATACTTCTGATTGTAACTTTTTCCTAGTTTTGAACCTTCTTAGGACCATGACCAAATCAAATAGTTCTTCTCTTATAAAATGACCTTTCATAAGCTAAAATCAGATATCTTTTATAGACAAAATATATTTCTGCTTCAATACTGCTGAGCTGCTCTTGCAGTAGATTGAACTGCAAGTTTAATTGTCTGTATGCTTCCTTTACCCATGGGTTTAACAGGTATTTATACCTGTGGATGGTAAATTTTTTTTAAAAAAAAACGTGAAACTACCTCAAGCAGTAATTTTGTATAATTATTTTTTAAATCCTTCAGTCCCAGATTAATTTAGCATGTGTTTCACTCCCTGATTTTAAGTAACTGTGTTGAGATAATTATAGCAAACTACCTGATAATCTGAAGGATGACTGTTTTCTAGTAACCGAAATGGTAGTACTTCTCAGCTTTCTCAATAATGTCACCTATCTGAAGAAGCGTTACAGTGATCCAATATCTACAATGGCACCCTACCTACCTGTGCCAAATCACTGTATTTTTTCTCGATTTACTTTATTTTTCTCTTAAATGTATGTGTTTATTGTTCTGTCCCAAATGGAAGATAAGAAAAATGGGCTTGTTTTTTTTTTTTTTTTGAGATGGAGTCTCGCTCTGTTGCCCAGGCTGGAATGCAGTGGCCTGATCTTGGCTCACCACAACCTTCACCTCCCTCGTTCAAGCAATTCTCCTGCCTCAGCTTCCCAAGTAGCTGGGACTACAAGCATGAGCCATCATGCCCGGCTAATTTTTGTATTTTTAGTAGAGACGGGGTTTTAACTATGTTGGCTGGGCTGGTCTCAAACTCCTGACCTCATGATCCACCCACCTCGGCCTCCCAGAGTGCTGGGATTACAGGCATGAGTCACCGCGCCCAGCCAAAAATGAGCATTTTTATGGAGAATTTGGGGTTAAGTTTTTTCTTGCCCTAAATATAGTTGGACCTCCATATCTATGGGTTCCACATCTATGGATTTAACCAATAATGAATTGAAGATATTTGAGAAAAAAAGAATGGATGCATCTGTACTCAATGTGTACAGACTTTTTTTCTTGTTATTTCCTAAACCATACAGTATAACTATTTATGTAGTACTTACATTGTATTAAGAATTATAAATAATCTAGAGATGATTTAAAGTATACAAGAAAATGTACATAGGTTATACGCCAATACTACATCATTTTGTATAAGGGCCTTGAACATCCCTGAATTTTGGTGTCTGTGGATAGGGTGGGCAGTGGGTCATGAAACCAATTGCCCAAAGATATTGAGGGATGACTGTATAAATTTTCTATACCACCTCTGCTTATATATACTATGTAATATTCGTGGCAGCTTCAGCAGTATCATATTTTAGACTCTCTTACAGGTGGTACAATTTGTAAAAAAAAATGGATTTATGCAACTTTATTTTGACAAATTGTTGGCAGAGCAGAGTTAGGACCCAGGGAAAACATTTTTTACTATGTTTTTCATTGTGTATCTTTCTCTTAGTCTCTCTTTCTCTCTTGAGATTATTTTTAAATAAAAGTACAGCAATATACATACATATTATTATTAATATATTGTTCTTTATCTAAAGGAAACTTAAAATATAACTAAAATATTCTCCAAGTTCATATTTTTTTTCTCTTGTCACTACTAATCTTTAGTGTTCCTTCAAAATACTTCATATGAAAGACCTACTTGTTTTCAATGTCTTGCTACTTTAGAAAAGCCTAAGTAACATGTGCTGCTTGGGAAGGTCAGCACTATTATTGCCCTGCATGTTTCTGATTTGTTGGGGTTATACCAAATGTAATATTATTTTAGGAAATCCTGAGTGAATGAATGAATTGAATGAATAAAATTCCTAGGTTATATATTATTCTGTTCATTTTTTTCCTCTTATATTTGGAGTTAGGATTATGGAAAAAAATGCCACGTGGTATGCATCAGGGTCTAATCTCTTGATCTCTGTTTTATTCTCTCTTCATGTAAATTGTCCCTTTCCTTGACTTTTTCCATAGATCAAATCCAGCAGGGATCAAGCTTTGGCTGAACGTTGTCTTGCTGCACTAACCGAATGTGCTGCTAGCGGAGATGGAAATATCCTGTCTCTTGCAGTGGATGCATCTCGTGCAAGGTAGAGATATATAAGTTGGAGGTTTCCAAAGACTAAAAGTTGGCCGGTTTAGCTTTCCAGAGTATACTTAAATGAAAGGTTGACCCTATAAACCATGCGAGCCCAAAAGAAAATAATGGCATCCATAATAAATTTAATTCTTATCATTTTAAAATCCTCTGTATTTAAAACATTCACATATTTTGAGTGAAATGTATTAATAAATGTATATTTTACTGTGGCTGAGGTATTTTGAAACTACTGAAATGAATCCATTTCACTGATTCACAGGTTGAAATGTGTTGGACTCTCAAGTATATCACTAGGTTTATGCCTATTACCTTGATATTTTACCAGTTAAAATGGCTCTGGGGTGGGGAGGGGAACATTAATCAGAGAATTAATAGGAAAAACTTGTCATCCCATTGCTTTTGAATTAGTTTTAATTATGAAGCAACCAGAAGAGTAACCAACTTCCCCACACTCTCATCCCAGTCCTTCTTCCCTTGTTACTAGAACCACATGTTCTTTTAGGAGTAGAATACTTGTTAATTGTTACTAGTCTTCTATCTCCTGTTGACATTTTGGTCTACTGCATTTGATTTTCTACTGTAATATAATTGCTCTTACTAAGTTCACTAGCCAACGCTCTTTGTCTGATATTGTGGATAATTTTTAGTCCATATCTTGAATTCTCTACAGTATTTAACATTATTGACCACTTGTTCCTTCTTGAAACTTTTGCCATTTGTAACCCTTAACATGCTCCTTCGTCTGCTAACTTTTGTCATCCCTGCATTCAAAAAAGGCTAAGTAAAAACAGAAATCTAATCTCATGTTATAATCTGCTTCTGTGTTACCATAGTAACGTGATATTTCGGCCAAACGTGAAGTTTTTTGTATTTACTAACCAATAGAATTGTTGTGAAAGACATTAAAGCATTAAAAATAGTTCCTGAAACAGAATATGGCACTTAATGTGTTAATTGTTGTTTTTTGTTCCTATTTGTTGTTATTTAAAAATTATCTCATTATATATCATCAATATATCAAATACAGTTCATTATATTCCCAGACCACAGGCGGCCCTGAAATACTTATCCTTTCTTGTAAGCTAGCACGTTATCCTGTTTATAGTGGGCGTGCTGGTTGATGATATGAGATCTCCCTGACTCAGAACCTAATGACACGTTTGTTACTACAGATTAATAGCCAGACATCAGCAGGTTCGGCTAGTTCCTTTGATGCCCATTGATGTGAGTGATGTGAAAAGGGCTGCTAGGTGATACCTCTTGTACAGTGTATTGGGTTACTTTCAAGGAGAGGAACCCTGAGCTTAGGGATTCTGAATCTTTTGTAATGGGTAATAAGCATGGCCCCCATTGTTCTAGAGGGAGACATTATTATATTGGACAGAAAGCAAACCTACCCTTTGCTCTGGGAGTAGCTAATATTCCTGTCTTCTAAGGCAATTCACTATACAGACATCTTTGAAAACATAGTCCATAATAAAGAGCCATCAGTGCTTTGCTCCACAGGATATGAAGAAATGCAAGTGACCCACGGAAAATTTTTCTCCCAATATATGGCAACATCATTAAATGGATTACTTTTGCTTTTAAGTGTTTATTTCTTAATATAATGAACTTTTAAAAAAATATGTTGCTTAACTGGTTAAGGTATAGTATAAATAGTATGTGTTGTTTTTTTCTACTACTGATTTCATAAGATAAATTAGATGACTTTTTTTATTATTATACTTTAAGTTCTAGGGTACATGTGCACAACGTGCAGGTTTGTTACATATGTATACATGTGCCATGTTGGTATGCTGCACCCATTAACTCGTCATTTACATTAGATGACTTTTATCAAAGGCCTTTGACGGTTGCCCATTCCTTTTAGATTAAAACCTAATCTTTCGATAGTCTGCAAGATATGCTAGATGTGACTCTTGCCCATTTCTCTGACCTCATCTTATACCACTTTCCTCAATATGCTGTGTTCCTAATGCCCTTCTTTCTATTTTTAGAACATAAAACATATTTTCCTACATCTCAGAGCCTTTGCTTTTAGTGCTTCCTTTTTCAAACACTCTTACTCTTTTATGTTCCCTTGGGATCCCCTTTTGTATAATTTATATCTTAGTTCAAAAGTCATATCTTCACATCTTCAATAACTTTAAAATAGTTCTTCCAGACACCCCATTCCATCTTTGCCTGGTTTAGTGTCTTTATAGTACTTATTACCTTATGAAATTATCTTACTAATTTATTAATTTAGTTGTTTATCATGTGCATCCTCTGACTAGATGTTACAGATGTTAATGTCTATAAGAACAAGCACTTTTTCTTTGGTCTCATTTATTACTGTATTGCTCTAGTAGATATAGAGATATAGTAATATCTGGCACATATTAGGCACACAGCTAATGTTGGATGAGTTAGTGAACAAATGGATGGAATATGCTAAAAGATTTACTTCTTATCAAAAAGTATTTATGGGAGTGTTTCTCTTTATCCATTTGTGTTTAGTAGTGAATTATTCAGCAACCTTCAGGTACTTGTCTATATATATAATTTTTAGGTCATTCAGTCATTTCTTGATTGACAAATGTTGAAAAGATAATTGGATGCATAAAGGCATCCAGAATAAATTTTTCACAAGTATTTTCAGAAGAGACGCTTTCATAATACATTAAAAACATTCTTATTTTACATTTTTACAGTCTATTGTTAATAAACAGTCTTAGGTAATAAAATATGTTTAATTATATTGAATATTATGGTAAACAGATATCTTTATCACGAAATAATGAAGTTAATGGAACCACCATTTCATGTTTCAGATGTACAGTGGGAGAAATCACAGATGCTCTGAAAAAGGTATTTGGTGAACATAAAGCGAATGATCGAATGGTGAGTGGAGCATATCGCCAGGAATTTGGAGAAAGTAAAGAGATAACATCTGCTATCAAGAGGTAATATGTAAGGTTTCTTAGGCCAGAATTTCATCTTTTCTGTTAACAGAATCCCCTTGAATCTACTGGGAGCTTAATTTCCTTACATACAACTGAGAAAATTTTTGAATTTTAAAATAATAAATAGCAAATTAAATGTTAATTATATTTATCTTATCATATAGACGTATAATACAGTATGAATTAATAGAGCGTATATAATTTATTCCATTAACATATTTAATATATAATTTAGAGAATTTTATACATGATATAGTATTTATATCTGTACTATCATTATTTTAATATGTACTTGATAATGTTTATTTTATTTTATTTTATTTTTTTATTTTTTTTATTATTATTTATATTTAAGTTTCAGGCGGTGCATGCTGCAACACCGGCTGCAGGGTTTGTTATATAATGTATACATGTGCCATGTTGGGTGTGCTGCCCCCTTTTACATTAGGTATATCTCTTAATGCTATTCTTCCCCCGCTCGCGCTCCTTCCCCCTTCCCCACACAGGCCGCGGTTGTGATGTTCCCTTTCTTCCTGTGGTCCAAGTCGATCTTCATTGGTTCAATTCCCACCTATGAGAGAACATTGCGGTGTTTTGGTTTTTTGTTCTTGCCGATAGTTTGCCTGAGATGATGCGTTCCGGCTGTGCGTCCATGGTTCCCTTACCAAAGGACACGAACATCATTTCCTTTTTTATGGGACTGCATAGTATTCCATGGTGTATATGCTGCCACATTTTTCTTAATCAGTTCTGTACTGATGGACCTCTTGGGGTTGATTCAAGTCTTTGCTATTGTGAATAGTGCCTGCAATAAAACATGACGTGTGCATGATGCATTATGTTTTTATAGCGTGGCGATGAATTTCATAATCCTTTGTGTATATACCCAGTAATGGGGATGGCTGCGGTCAAAATGCTATTTCTGTTCCAGATCCTTGAGGAATCGCCACCACTCTTTTCCACAATGGGTTGAACTAGGTTTTACAGGTTTCCCACCAACAGTGTAAAAGTGTTCCTTAATTTCTCCACATTCCTCTCCGCACCTGTTGTTTCCTGATTTTTTTAATTATTGCATTTAACTCGGGTGTGAGATGTATCATATTATGGGTTTTTTGATTTTGCCATTTCATCTGATGGCGAGTGATGATGAGCATTTTTTCATGTGTCTGTTGGCTGTATGAATGTCTTCTTTTGAGAAGTGTCTGTTCATATCATTTGCCCACTTTTTGATGGGGTTGTTTGTTTTTATTTAATAATAAATATTAAATATTGAAACTAATAATATTAGTTTTCATATAATTAATACTATTTTGAACTTTCACTATGGTCCCCTTCAGGAGTTTCTCATGTCAAACAGATGTTTAACTAACAATGATACTGCTTCATATCCTCCAGGTATTTATATTTCAATCTGCTTACTCTGGTAGAGTTTCTTATTTTTTGAATTTGTTTACATTATTTATTGCTTAAATAATTATAAAATCTTGATTTTCGTAATTGAAAGTAAACATTTAGTTGGCGTCTATGCATACATTACAATCAGTATTTATTGAACTGATAATAACTTATACTTCCACAGCATGACTTGGAAATATATATTAATGTGATCATATCTCTCAAATGTAAAAACTAGCTTTTTGATGATTGGTCTTTCCAACCTCTGTAACAAGCTTCCCATTAAAAACTGAATTTCAATACTTGTACACTAGGTAAATATCAAAACAGCCAAGGTAAAAGTCATCAAAGTGGAACTTTTTTTCTTTTAACAAAGATAAGTGCTTTTTTGTGTTGGAAGTAAATTTGTCAGTGGAGCAAGCAAGCATTTTGATTATTTAGCATTATAAGAAACCATATTGCTCTTAGCTTGGGAGAGTTCACACTTATGAAGGGTAGATGAGATATAGACAATTCAAAGCAGCTAGTCTGTCACATATATGTATAAATGACTATGAAGTCACTTTTTCGCTTATATTTAAATCTTTCTGCATGTTATACTCTGTACACTGGCTCATGAAGGTGGGAGGTTGTCATTTTTTGTCTTACTTCACCATGATGTTCTCAGCGCTATGTGCTTACAGTCTGTGCCATCTTTCAGATTTTCCTCTAAGGGGGAGATGGCTTTAATGGAGCTTTCAATGTAAATAGATACATTAACAAAATATGGATGGGAGCAGGGAGAGCATCAGGAAGAATAGCTAATGGATGCTGACCTTAATACCTAGGTGATGGGGTGATCTATGCAGCTGTTCACCATGGCACATGTTTAACTGTGTAACAAACCTGCACATGTACCCCTGAATGTAAAATAAAAATTGGAAATCAAACAAATAGAACAACAACAAAAAAAATGCAAAATACAAGTAAACAAATTAAGTATTTTTAAATAAACTTGAAAGATTTGCTGTAAATAAATTAGTTTTTATATCTTACCTTTGGAAAATTAATATCTTAACTACTGATATATTTTTAAATGTTTTTTAGGGTTCATAAATTCATGGAACGTGAAGGTCGCAGACCTCGTCTTCTTGTAGCAAAAATGGGACAAGATGGCCATGACAGAGGAGCAAAAGTTATAGCTACAGGATTTGCTGATCTTGGTTTTGATGTCGACATAGGCCCTCTTTTCCAGGTACTAAAAACTGTTGGGGGGAATTTCAAAAGTATGTACTAGTCACTTACATTTAGAAATAGTAGTAAAATGATGACAGACCAAGACATTGAGCAAATTAACACACCTCCTGGTAACTGGTATGCAGCCACTGACTTGGCAAATGCCTTTCTCTCCATTCCTGCCTATACGGCCCACCAGAAGCAATTTGCCTTCAGCTGGCAAGGCCAGCAATATACCTTTACTGTCCTACTGCAGGGGTTTATTAACTCTCCGGCTTTGTCATAATCTTATTCGGAGAGATCTTGATCACTTTTCACCTCTGCAAGATACCACACTGGTCCATTAATTGACGACATTATGCTGATTAAATCCAGTGAGCAAGAAGTAGCAAACACACCGGACTTATTGGTGAGACATTTGCTTGCCAAAGGATGGGAAATAAATCTGACTAAAATTCAGGGACCTTCTACCTCAGTAAGATTTCTAGGGGTCCAGTGGTGTGGGGCCTGTTGAGATATTCCTTCTAAGGTGAAGGATGAATTGCTGAATTTGTCCCCTACTAAAACCAAGAAAGAGGAACAACGCCTAGTGAGCCTATTTGGATTTTTGGAGGGAACACATTCCTCATTTGGGTGTGTTACTCTGGCCTGTTTATCAAGTGACCCGAAAGACTGCCACTTTTGAGTGGGGTCCAGAATAGGAGAAGGCTCTGCAACAGGTCCAGGCTGCTGTGCAAGCTGCTCTGCCACTTGGGCCATATGACCCAGCAGATCCAAGGGTGCTTCAGGTGTCAGTGGCAGATAGCAATGATGTTTGGAGCCTTTGGCAGGCCTCCATAGGTGAATCACAACAGAGTCCTCTAGGATTTTGGAGCAAGGCCCTGCCATCTTCTGCAGATACCTACTCTCCTTTTGCGAGACAGTTCTTGGCCTGTTACTGGGCTTTGGTGGAAACTGAACGTTTGGCTATGGGTCATCAAGTCACCATACAACCAGAACTGCCTATCATGAACTGGGTGCTTTCTGACCCATCTAACCATAAAGTGGGTCGTGCATAGCAGTATTCCATCATCAAATGGAAGTAGTATATATGTGATTGGGCTTGAGCAGATCCTGAAGGCACAAGTAAATTACATGAGAAAGTGGCTCAAATACCCATGGTCTCCACTCCTGCCACCCTGCCGTCTCTCCCCCAGCCTTTATATATATATATATATGTAAGGGGGAGTTTATTAAGTGTTGACTCACATGATCACAAGGTCCCACAATAGGTCTTTTGCAGGCTGAGGAGCAAAGAGAGCCAGTCCGAGTTCCCGAACTGAAGTACTTGGAAGTCCGATGTTCGAGGGCAAGAAGCATCCACCACGGGAGAAAGATGTAGGCTTGGAAGCTAGGCCAGTCTCTTTTCATATTTTTTTGCCAGCTTATATTCTAGCCGTGCTGGCAGCTCATTAGATGGTGGCCACCCAGATTAAGGGTGGCTCTAGCCCTTTCCTAGCCCACTGACTCAAATGTTAATCTCCCTTGACATCACCCTCACAGACACACTCAGGGTCAATACTTTGTATCCTTCAACCAAGTTGACACTCAGTATTAACCATAACACATATAGTCCAATTAATTATGATAGAAATAAAAATAAAATATAATTATCAGACTTTTAAAAGTGTCAATTCAGAACTAAAACTGATTATGCCTGGAACTATGAAGATTACTTTCAAAGATCTTATTGTACACTTTATTGAGATTTGACTAATATTTTGTGGGAAAGATAGCCCACATGGGATTGGTGAAAAGTGTTTTGAAAAGGAAATCAAATAGCAATATAAGCTCAATTCATAAGTAAGGTTATTTTTGTTTATTTTTGTTTTTGTTTTTTAGCTCTCTACTAATATGTTACTTAGTCACAGAATATTAGACTTAGACAGGAAAATAATTTGCTGGAGATAAATTACACTGATATTTTCCATAGAATGATAATACAAAAAAAATTTGTCTAAAAAGTACATTGTAATAATTTTATATGAAAAGCCTTATCTACTACATATTTATTAATCATCTACCAGATGCTAGGCTCTGAGTTGAGTAGGATACAATTTTGTCCTCTAGGAGGTTACAATCTCCTAACAAAGAGAGATTTACTTACTTGTAATTACATCAGAGCATGAAAATTACTGTAACTAAAATATGGACAAGGAGGGCACCTCACTTGTTACGAGAAACCCAGAAACTTATGTTTGTTGATCCTTGAAACTTTTGTTTGATTCAGAAGCACAGTGCCATTCGCTTTCTAGTAAAAATCACTCTCTGAAGTGGATGGAAAAGAGCTGCAACTAGATGCAAGGAGTCCGGTGAAGAAAAAAAATGAGAAACAGTGAGGACCTTAACTAGGGCAATGTCAGGATCTCAAGAGAAACCAAATCTCAGCTAGGATTTTGAAGAAAATTTAATGGAGGGACTACTTACAGATATATAGGCAGGATTGATAGAACCACTAAGGAATAGCAAGGCCTCCAGGAATTCAATTTTTAAGAATTTCAAAAGACACTTGTTTTTCATGGTGTGAAATGGTGTCTTATTTGTTTAAGTTCCTTATAGATTCTAGAGATTAGACCTTTTACTATTGCTTGAAACCAAAGGTAATAAGTACTAAAAACTCATCACTCCCTATACTTACTATGTTTTATTATTATCTGCTCTTTAGGTTATTTCCATCTGTTTTATCTATATGGTAGAGACACTGTATAATTGTGTGACTATTGTGCATCTTTTCTGCTTTGCATTTAGTAATGTCATGTTAATAGGGTGAAATTGGCTGTGGTTGGAATATTCACAACATAAAAATCAGCAAACACTAAAAATTAGGGATTGAGTTATTGCTTTCAGAAAATTTGATGAAAAATGTAGATAATCAGAACAAAGTTCTCTGAGGGAAATAATAATATAATGATGAATATTAAATTTAAAAGTTTCTGATACCTGTAGGCATTACATTAGGAAGACCCCCAACATTTGAGGAAACATTCGTTTAGTATTAAAAAAAAATTATTATTATTATTTTTAACTTTTAAGTTCAGGGGTACATGTTTAGGTTTGTTATATAGGTAAACTTGTGTCATTAAGCCTAGTACCCATTAGTTATTTTTCCTGCTCCTCTCCCTCCTCCTGCTCCTCTAACCTCTGATAGGCTCCAGTGTGTGTTGTTTCCCTCTTTGCCTTCTTTGTGTCGATGTGTCCTCATCATTTAGCTCCCACTTATAAGCAAGAACATGTGGTATTTGGTTTTTCTGTCCCTGTGTTAGTTTGCTGAGGATAATGGCTTCCAGCTTTATCCATTTTCCTGCAAAGGACACAATCTCATTCTTTTTTTCTGGCTGCATAGTATTCTTTAGTGTGTATATATCACATTTTCTTTATCCAGTCTATCATTGATGGGCATTTAGCTTGATTCCATGTCTTTGCTGTGGTGAATAGTGCTACAATGAACATACATGTGAATGTGTATTTTTTTTTTTTTTTTTTTTTTGAGTCTCACACTCTCATCCATGCTGGGGTGTAGTGATATAATCTTGGCTCACTGAAACCTCCACCTCCTGGGTTCAAGCGAGTCTTCTACCTCAGTCATATGAGTAGCTGGGACTACAGGCACGTGCCACTATACCTGGCTAATTTTTGTATTTTTAGTAGAGATAGGTTTTACCATGTTGGCCAGGCTGGTCACGAACTCTTGACCTCAAGTGATCCACCCGCCTCTGCCTCCCAAAGTGCTGGAATTACAGGCCTGAGCCACTGTGCCCGGCTGCATGCATGTGTTTTTATAATGAAAAGATTTCTATTCGTTTGGGTATATGTACGGTAATGGGATTGCTGGGTTGGGAGGTATTTCTGTTTTTAGGTCTGTGCGGAATCACCACACTGTCATCTACAATGGTTGAACTAATTTACACTCTCATTAACAGTGTATAAACGTTCCTGTTTCTCCACAACCTTGCTAGCATCTGTTATTTTTCGACTTTTTAATAATAGCCATTCTGACTGGTGTGAAATGGTGTCTCATTGGGGTTTTTATTTGCAGTTCTCTAACAATCAGTGATTTTGAGCTTTTTTTAAAATATTGTTGGCCATATGTATGTCTTTTTTGAAAAGTGTTCATGTCTTTTGCTCACTTTTTAATGTTTTTTTTTGTAAATTTGTTTAAATTTTTTATAGATGCAGATATTAGACCTTTGTCAGATTCACAGTTTGCAAAAATTTTCTCCCATTCTGTAGGTTTTCTGTTTACTCTGTTGACAGTATCCTTTTTAGTGCAGATGCTTTTTAGGTTAATTAGATCTCATTTGTCAATTTTTGCTTTTGTTGTAATTGCTTTTGGCATCTTCATCATGAAGTCTTTGCCTATTAGTATGTTCTGAATGGTATTGCCTACATAGTCTTCCAGGGTTTTTATAGTCATTATCTAGTAATAAACAATGATTTATCTTTACTTTTTGACTGTTTAGACTCCTCGTGAAGTGGCCCAGCAGGCCGTGGATGCAGATGTGCATGCTGTGGGCGTAAGCACCCTTGCTGCTGGTCATAAAACCCTAGTTCCTGAACTCATCAAAGAACTTAACTCCCTTGGACGGCCAGATATTCTTGTCATGTGTGGAGGGGTGATACCGCCTCAGGTATTTTTCATCTCTATTTTTCTAGTACTGTGATGGGAATCCTGAGTAATGACAGCTTATATGTGGTTCTAAAGATAATATGTTCCTAAATCTACAACAAATTTATTTCCTGTTGATTTCACTAAATAAATTCTAGAAGGTCTAAAAGTGGACAGTGTTGTTTTATATTCACGTTATATTGCAATTCATTATGTATAATTTAACTTAACATTTTACAAACCTTCAGTGAGAGAACTACCTCCTTACAAACCAATAACCTGTGCCAGATGTCTACCTTCATTCTCAATAAACAGTTATGGAGAAAGAAAAGGATAAAAGTAATAAAACTCTTAAGTGGAGTAGAGAACAGTGGTAGTAAATATACAGTGAATATATCAAACCCTAGCCAGACATATAGTGAGTATTCCTTGTCCTGGGGGTTGGGATGAATCCTTTAGTTTGCTTGCTTCCATTTAGAAGGAGCTACCTTGTCCTTTTCCTCCAGGATGGTCCCATCCCTAAATGTTATCTTACCTCAGAGCTATATCATTTACATGGTCCTATAAAACCCTTTATTATTTAAGCTAATTTGATTAGGGTATGGTATTTCAGGAGCCAAAAATATCCTATTGCAGACATAAATAGAATCAGCTTGTCTTGAAAATTGTAGGCTGAATGGGGAGGAGGTGACTACATGAACAAAACTGTGAGTCCTCTTAGGAAAGGAGAAATAGATGTTACCTACAATGATATCAGTTAATTTATTAGTGAGGTAGGGAGACACTTTCCACATATGACATTCCTGGCCAGTTAAAATAGTTATTTAAGTTACAAATAGGTTCTATTTCCAATCCAGTTCTCAATTATATCAAGATTTTCTTTTTTACTGAGAATGGAAAAAATGTCAAGTTAGAAGAACTGTATATGAGGCCACTGTAAGTAAATGATTCATAGATGCTACAAAGGCCCCATTGCTATAGCAGGAATCCATCAGTGAAGTGTGACCTTGTTTCCAGCTCTATGGCTTTTTTTTTCTCCATTAAAACTCAGAATATAGAATAGTGCATTAATATACTACTCGTGAAAGGAGAAAATTCATATGAATAAGGTTGTGAGATTCATAATAAATTGGGGCTAGTGAACAAACTACATATTTATTTTCTTTCCAACAGCACATTATTTAATGTGATGTAATCAACACAAAATTCTTTTTGTTAATATACTTGCCCATTATATTCATAAAATAGGTCATTATTTGAGAAAATAAAGGGTAGTTATTCTTTATTGCAGTCTGTCTGCAGAACACTTCTATCAGTGTTGCAGTTTTAGAGTCTGTGATACCGAGGCATGATATTAAAATGTAAGGACCAAAATAATTAGCCAGTAGAAAACATTTGAATTGGAATTCATGTTGAGAAAAAAAATGTAGGCCTATTATATAAGTGAGCTGACATTTTCAAGAATTGTATTTCAAATAAGTTGTATTAATTCTCTGGATATTTAAATTACTTAGAACATCTTTAGGTGTTTTCCATGTGATTTTTCCCATGAATTTAACAACTGAGCATAAGGACCATTTTCTGTATTATACTTCTGTGTGAATATGGGTATCCCATATTATATAATTATAGCAGTTAACACCCTTATTTTCTCACTATTTGGTTGAAGTGAATATGTAAAATGTTGCTATTATTCAATTAAAGGTCACCTAGTTTTAAATTAGAAGGCACTAATATCTAGTGGCTAATCAAACAGATACAGTCTCTGCCATGTGGAGCTTACTGTTTCTGCTGTCTGATTAAATGAATAAATGTGGTCTGTCGTCACCAGTATGTTACTACAATCAGGATTTTCTAACTCTCTTAGCAGCAGTCGCCTCCAAGTTTTTTTCAGCAGCTTGAGCAGACTCACGATGCCTGCTTCCATCCTGAAGCAAGTACTATGCTATCCCTGGCCCAGCTAAGTGGAGGACATTCAAACATATATTTTTATTTGGAAATAATTTCAAACTAACAGATAAGTTGCAAAAATAAAAATAGTACAAAAAATGTCTGTATACCCTTTACCCAGATTCACTTACTGTGAACATTTTACCCTCTCATAAAGGTATATTTTACAAGGCTTATGTAAGAAAGAGTTAGGTAAGTCATATACCCTTTTTGCAGTTGCAACATCTTGCAGTTCTCTTCCAGTTGAACCCTCCATTCTAAATCCATAACTCAGATGTCAGGACAAATGTACATGGGATTTTTAGGAAGGAGAGAAGTATATGACCTATTAATCTGACCATCTCCAATTTAGAGATGATTATTATTACACATTTCATTCAGTTCCCTTATGAGCTCTTAAACTCTGTAGCATCTGCTCAAGAACAATGACATGTTTTGAGCACTTTTATGTGTCACATACTGGGGAAAGAGACTGGACATGATCTCGGCTCTCAGAATTTCACAGACTAGAAGGAGACAAGTTCAATGAGATATGTTAAGTTCTATTGCAACATTATAGTATTATAAGAATACAGTTATATAATAGAGACAGAAAAGTAGTAGTTGGGGAGTAATTAGAATGACCATATAATTTATCATCCAAATATGATCACTTGAGAGTAGAAATGGGTGCTCTTAAAAAGGGCGCTGCAACAATAAACTGTCCTGTCATATATAATCACTCATCAGACTGTCCTGTCATATATGATCACTCTATTGGATAAGGATCAGGTTCTTATAGCACATCCTAACCGCAATCGATATTGTAGCTACAAATGTTCAGATGTTAAAACAGCCTAAATCCTGCAGGGTTATTTGTGCCCTTGCTATCTTTTCACTCATACTTTGACTGTTACAATAAACTAAAAATGGTGGGCGCAGTGGCTCACGCCTGTAATCCCAGCACTTTGGGAGGCCGAGGCGGGCGGATCATGAGGTCAGGTGATCGAGACCATCCTGGCTAACGTGGTGAAACCCCGTCTCTACTAAAAATACAAAAAATTAGCCGGGTGTGGTGGCGGGTGCCTGTAGTCCCAACTACTCGGGAGGCTGAGGCAGGAGAATGGCGTGAACCTGGGAGGCAGAGCTTGCAGTGAGCCGAGATCGTGCCACTGCACTCCAGCCTGGGCGACAGCGAGACTCCGTCTCAAAAAATAAAAAAATAAAATAATTAATTAATTAAATTAAATAAAAAACAACAGCAACAGAGAATGAAAAAAAAAGGGCTTATTTTCATTTGTAGGAAATCTATCAGGTGTCCAAATTCAAAGTGCCACCATTCACTAACTGCAGATAGAATACCTAGGAGAAAATAGTTTTTTAGGCTCAAACTTATCGTATGATACTAAATTTAACACAAATAATGACAAGTAGTGAAAATTTAGGTGAGAGAAAATTATGACTTAAGGCTCAGAAGTTCTCAGGATATCCAGCTTCCCACCACAAACAACACATAGAGGTATTTAGAAAATGGGTGTTTTGTTTTTTAAATAATGTAGACTGGAAGACTGGTGCTGAGGGCTATTAGTAGCACTCCCAATCAAGGAAGAATTTTTTAGACCCACATGCCAATAGTATACCAGTTGAGAAGGTTTTGGGTATTTGAGGGACAAAGAAGAAAGGATAGCGTTTTATTTCCTTGAAAATGGAAATAATGTCTCTTATTAATTAAACAAATTCTTTCGACAGGATTATGAATTTCTGTTTGAAGTTGGTGTTTCCAATGTATTTGGTCCTGGGACTCGAATTCCAAAGGCTGCCGTTCAAGTGCTTGATGATATTGAGAAGTGTTTGGAAAAGAAGCAGCAATCTGTATAATTTCCTCTTTTTGTTTTAGCTTTTTTCTAAAATATTATTTTAGTTATGATCAAAGAAGAGAGTAAAGGTATGTCTTCAATTTAATTTTAATACCTGATTTGTACTTTCCTTGAAAGCTTTACTTTAAAATACCTTACTTATAAGCCTGGCGTCATGCTATACGTATGTACATACAGTTTCACTTCAAAAATTAAAAAATAAAATCTCTAAAACCTCTCTATAACAATACTTTATCAAGAACTCTAGACAAAGGTATTATTTTTAAAAATCATGGTGATGTATTTATTAGAATGTTTCTTATAAATCTGTTTACTTTTTATATTGAGAATTAAACTATGCCTAAAAAACTCTGACTAGTCCCATTTGTCAGTTTAGCATTACATGTCTTGAGCACCAGAAAATAAAATCCATATATTAATAAACACCTATCTTGAAAAACTAGTGGAGTGTATTTACATGGAGAAAGAGATTTTGGGTGGAGTCCTCAGCCAAATTCTACCAGAATCACCTTGATAAAAGAAGTATTGAAATCAAGCACAGCAGGTTGGAATATGGGGAATTTGACATCCTATTTCTTCAAGTCTGATTTTACTTTCTTCCTGAGCATGACCATTTGACCTTGTTATTTCTGGGCTTTGCTCAAGACCCAGGAGAGTAGATGTTTATGAACATTCCTTTAAATGAAAGTGCTTAGGTTGTAGTTATGGCTTTGTCTAGAGTGGTGATGTCAACTGTGAGTGTAGGTCTGATATAGAAAGAATTCAACTTTCCAGATCTAGAAAGATGCTACCTTGCATAGATTTGCTCATTAAACATAAATTGCAAAAATAAAAATATCACAGAGAACACCTGTACTTTGCTTATTGAAAGATTTGCTCACTAAAGAAGGAAAGTTGTCATTTACCTGTGTAACAAATCTGTGCATCCTGCACATGTTCCCCAGAATGTAAAATAAAAATAAAAATTTTAAAAATAAAAAAGGAAAGTTGTCCTTTATTGTTAACATGATCCATTATATGAATATAAAATAAACAATTATCTTTTCTAATAAATTTCTGTTGTGTTAGATCAGAGAGCAATCTTTTGGAAAGTATAGATATATTACTGTAGAAGTTACAAACTCATTGTAATACAATGTATTTAATTTTTAGAATAAGATTATCTGAATGGTATTGTCATGATTATTGTTCCCATTTTACAGGTGAACACTCTGACTTCAAGTCCAATGATATATTCACTATGCCATTTTATTGACTTTTCCTTGTAAAGCAATACATACTAATTTAATAAGTATTTGATTTCTGTGATGTGTTCAGTTGTCTGCTGGGTGACGTGAAATAAACTCATCTTTGAGGAGTTTAGAGTTCTTGACATTCAGTATCTTTTGAGTAGACTACTTTGGAAGGAAGAATAGCAGCCACCTGCTACCAAATTTCACATCCATTGTGTGTGTATGTGTGTGTGTGTGTGTTTACCTGAAGTCAGAAGTACTGGGCTCCAATAACCTTGATATTTGAAAACCTATTTTCTGAAATATCCAGTGGCTTAACTCACAGAAATTAAATCTGGCCTGACTCTGAGATTAAATTTTCTCATTAAATTGAGAAAATGTTAAAACTTAAACACTTTAGTGTTGTTCAGATTCCAAAAGAAATTTCATCTGACTTTTATTACTATCCTTATTTTTCGATGAAAACTTCTATGGCCAACAATGAGCAGACTTTTGGAAATGATCGGGAAAATAACCAAGTATATTTAAAAAGTGGATAGATGTTTTATACAGATAAGCTATCCCATATTCACCAAATAGTATAAGAAAATAATTAATGGATCAGGAAGATAACTACTTTCCTCATTTCCTTTCATCAAAAACATCCAATTCAAGATAGAAGATTCCAGTAACAATTATAAAACACAACCAAAAGATACGGTACAAAGCAATTTAACTTACTGGGATACGTGTTGTTTCACAGGTCAGCACTTCATCAATCTAATAGTGCCCAATCTCTGTTACAGCTATTTCATCTTTGATAAGATTATATTTATGATGCATGATGCCAGTGAGGTAACTGACAGAGATAGGAAGAAGATGTTGCATTCATAGGCAGTGTGATCTAGATATCTTTGCTTTGTTTACAGGCTAATGAAGAATCAAAAGTTCATCTGTGAGAAACACACCACATCCACACATCCACACCTGAATTGAAGAAATAGGGAACTCGGGCATTGACTAACTTAAACTCATATAATCAGGATTCAATCAGAGAAGAATCAGTAGGAGAAATGTGTGTGTGAATGTGTATGAGTGTGAAAGTGTATGAGTGTATGTGTGTGTGTGTGTGTGTGTGTGTGTTTATGAGTTGGCTGGAACCCCACAGGCATAAGCTGAAGCTTGTTTTCTTCAAGGAACCAGTCAGGAAGGACGATAATAGACTGAAGGGAGAGCAATTGTTGATTCAGTGACTGGAGTCTCTGGGCTCAGGAAAGGTTCAAACCCTTTTTATTGTTTATTAATTATTATTTATTTTGTAATTATACTTTAAGTTCTGGGATACATGTGCAGAACATTCAGGTTTGTTACATAGGTATACATGTGGCATGGTGGTTTGCTGCACCCATCAACCCATCATCTAGGTTTTTTAAACCCCACATGCATTAGGTATTTGTCCTGATGTTCTCCCGTCCCTTGCCCCCCAACCCCCCAACAGGCCCCTGTGTATGATGTTCCCCTCCCTGTGTCCACGTGTTCTCATTGTTCAACTCCCACTTATGAATGAAACATGCGGTGTTTGGTTTGCTGTTCCTGTGTTAAACTGCTGAGAATGATGGTTTCCAGCTTCACCCATGTCCCTGCAAAGGACATGAAACTCATTCTTTTTTATGGCTGCATAGTATTCCATGGTGTAGCTGTGCCACATCATTTTCTTTATCTAGTGGGCTTTTATCAGATTAAGTCAGATGACTTGCTCAGGATAATCTCTCTTTTGATTAAAACCAACTGTTTAGGGGCTTTAATTATATCTACAACATTTCTTTCCAGCATATTCAGAGATTAGTGTTTCATCGACTGGCAGAATGTGTTTGTGTGTGTGCTGCAGAATGACTGTCTCCTTTCCATCCTCCAATTCACAAAAGAGACGGAATATCTTATCAATTGTATCTCACCCTAACTGGAAATATACTAGAAAGGGAATTTTGGAGACTGTAGTTCATTCTAGCTAAACTGACACATTACAATTACAAAATCATCATATCCCCTCACTTTATAGATAGGCAACTGTTGCAGAGAAAGGAAGAAGATTTAACCACGATGACATGGTATTTATAGCGTGTATAGAGCCCGGTCTGCTAGCTGCAGACTCAGCAGTTTTCATATTCATATCTGAGGAAAGTCACATTATCAAGATTTATAACTACCCATATTTGCTATTCATTATTCCACAGAAAGGTCCAAAATTTAGAGTCAGTACATATATGGTTGGTGACAAAAATATTGAAGAATCACTTTTGTATTGAATCAAACATTTGCATCAAAGGTATCTGGGGATGTACTTTCTCAAAACCAATATTTTAAACAAAATTCGCAGAGCTTCTGTGTTATTAATGAATATATGTCAACTGGGATTAGTAAATACATAAGACTTTTCCAAGACTGTAACAACTAACAGTAATTGTTATACCAAGCAGGCACTACTTTTCCTTTACTGTAAAGACAGCTCTGATTATAGACACTATTGACTCTTCTTCCCAAATGACTCAGGAGTAAATAGACTCGGGTGGAACTTCTAGCTATAATAGACGGAGTTCCATAACTACAGGGAAGGCAAAGTCTTTCTAGCAATATTATAAGTAGGCTAGTTGCATCACATCTTATCTATCTGCAGTGTTCTATCAAAAAGCTAATCTGGAGAAGGGAAGTTCATTTGTTGAGCCTTGGACTCTTTCAAAGTCTTGCACAAAGTGTTATTGAAAAAAATATAGAAAATACATATAAAATATATAAAAAGAACTCCAGACTGGAGAATCCAGAAAATATGTTTCCAACAAATAGTCTGCTGATAATAGAGTGCTAGTTAAGTCATTCAAGAATTCTGTATCATATATTTCCTAACTAAAAGTGAGGAGGTTCTTTCCCTAACAATAGTGACATATTTTTCATTTGGATACTGTGTTTCTTATCCCTAGAAGTTACATTTGTTTTTTGTTTTTTTTAATAGCTTTCTATTTCTCTTGTCATATTTTCTTTACATTTTGAACATATTTGTAATATATTAGCTGTGCTAAGGTTTTTGCAAGACGATTCTATTATTTCTGTCATTTTGGAGTTTGCATTAATTAATTTATTTTCTTTCTGGTTATGGGTTGTGTTGCTTTTTTGGTGATTGATCATTAGATTGCAGATACTGTAAGTTTTGTATTAGTTTGCTGTATTGTCTGTTTTCACATGGCTAGAAAGAACTACCTGAGACTAGGTAATTTATAAAGGAAAGAGGTTTAATTGACTTACAGTTCTGCATGGCTGGGGAGGCCTCAGGGAACTTACAGTCATGGCAGAAGGTGAAGGGAAAGCAAGGCATGTCTTACATGGCAGCAGAGCAGAGGGAAAGAGGAAGTGCCACACTTTTGAACCATCAGATCTTGTGAGAACTCACTCCCTAGCTTGAGTACAGCATGGGGGAAACCACTCCCAAGATCTAATCACCTTCCAGCAGGTCCCTCCAACAAGTGGGGATTACAATTCAAGAGGAGATTTGGGTGGGGACACAGAGCCAAACCATATCAGTTGCATTCCTTCAAAGAGTATTGAACTATGTCCTCACACAAAGTTAAATTACTTGCAGATCATTTTTATTTTTTCCATACTTGCTTTTGAAGCTTCGTTAGTCTGGGATCAAGGAACAAACCTTTACAGTAGGGCTAATGTAGTGCCTTTCTTTCTTTCTTCTTCTTTTTTTTTTTTTTTTTTTTTTTTTTTTGAGATGGAGTTCTCACTCCTGTGCCAGGCTGGAGTGCACTGGTGCGATCTTGGCTCACTGCAACCTCCACCCGCTGGGTTCAAGCAATTCTTCTGCCTCAGCGCCTCCCTAGTAGCTGGGATTTACAGGTGCGTGCCACCACACCCAGCTAATTTTTATATTTTTGGTAGAGATGGTGGTTTCCACCATTTGACGAGGCTGGTCCTCAACTCCTGAGCCCTGTTATCCTATGCCATTTTAAAATTCTGATATCACATGATCCAGTAATTCCATTTCTCGGGTATATACTCAAAAGAAGTGAAAGCCAGGACTCAACAGATTTGTACACTAATTGCTATGAACGTGATGTTTGTACTCCCCAGACCTTTTATTTTAAGTGCTTATCCTCAATATATATGGTACTTGGAGGTAGGATCTTTGGGATGTAAATAGATTTGATGATGTCATGAGGATGGGAGCCTCATGATGGAATTAGTGCCCTTTTATGAAGAGACCCAGAGTTTTCCTGGTCAGGTGAGATACATGTACAAAGTTAGCGCCATCTTCAAGAGGATCCTTCAAGGAGGACCTGAACTGTGTTGAGCAATCTTGATCTCCACTTTCCACGCCTCCAGAAGCGCTTTCTGGAATGAACACGAAATAAATGCCTGTTGTTTATAGTCTATGCAAGCTCAATGGTAAGTTTGTTATACGCAACCCCAAGCAAAGACACCAAACGCTTCATGAGCACATAGCAAGCATTACTCCATTAATAACAAAGCTAGCAACAACCCAAGTGCCATTGAGGAGAAAGGTGTATATACTTACAGTGAATATATTCAGCCTGTAACAAGGAAGGAAAAATTTTGACACAGTCTACAATATGCACATGTGTCCCTGAAGACATTTTGCTACAAAATGAAATAGCCAGTTAAAAAAGAAAAAAACACAAAGCACTGTAATGAACCTATTGTATGAGGGTTCTATAGTTGTCAGATTCACAGAGATTGAAAGTAGAATGGTGGTCCACCTGGGCTGGGAGGAAAAGGGGAGAAAAGCGGAGTGGTATTCTTTAGTGGCTACCGAGTTTCAGTTTTGCAAGACAAAAAGAGTTCTGGAGATGGATGTCAGTGATGGTTGCAGGTCAATGGGAATGCACTTAAGACCACAGAACTCTACACCGAAATATGGTTAATATGATTAATTATATGTTATATATATTTTATCACAATAAAAACAATATACTTAGGACAATGGTTAGCACATAATACAGACTTCGTAAATATTAGCTATTATTATTGTATTATTATTCCTATTATTATTACTTTATAGAAATTAATGAATGTGAAGGTATGAAACCAAGAAACTAGGTGGAGATTATTTAGAGGCTTATGCTGTTAA